CCCATATTACTGCAGTTATTTTATATTATTTTACATTTGCGCGGAAGGAATAATTCAATAAAATGTTTCTCCCTCCTATCTCAAAATTAATCACGTAACTTATCACATTCCTACTAAGTCGCAAATTCCATGCGGCTCCAAGCCGTGTCATTTTCAACATTTAATGAATCAAATAGGAATTTTTAATTCATTTATTTGGCAGAATGCTGCTTTTAATGTATCGATGGCTTAATTATTATAAAATATTATGCTAAATTATAAGCAACAATATTAATTATATAGTTAAGAAAAATATTGAAAAAAAAAACTAATATTGTAAAACGAAGAATTTTCGTTTATAAAAAAAATAAGCTTCAAATTCATCATCGTATTAATTGACAAATAATAATAATAATAATAATAATAATAATAATAATAATAATAATAATAATAATAATAAATAGCGGTAATAGGTTTAAAATGATGATTATTAGTATTGATGAAATGAAAACATTATTTTAAAGTAATGGAGTATAAATAAATTTTGAAAGGTTCTCTTCGAATCGACATTCGAAGCAATTATAATAATTAAAATTGTAAATATTACTTTAATAATTAAAAATATTATACGAATTGTTAATTAAATAATAGTTATTAATTAATAGTTGTATATCTATATATTACAAGTTCAAAATTTATTAGAAAAAGATAATTAATGTGAAAGTATGAAAATTGTCAAAACAATAGTGTTTTATATAAAATGTATAATTATTTGTAACAAATAATTGTGCTGCAATTTAATGTAGCTAGGAAATATAATTGAATTTAGTTCTATAATTCAAACAATAATTTATGCATTAATTTATACAAATATGAATATTTACGAAGATGAACAATCAAAGTAACTTTGCGAAATTGGAAGCACAAATTAACAATGCTAAGGAAAAATCATATATCTATTGGAATTCGTTCTAATTTGTTTTATATTAAAATAAGATAAACAATCAATAGAAGGAATAAGCCAATAATGGTATTCTATTAATTATCCAATATTTGTACATAGGTTAATTAAAATTCAAATTAAATATTAAAGATTCCGCTAAAAAAATCGAGCCACAAATAAATTGACTAAATTCGTTTTTCTTATAAAACCATTAATAATTAATGAAAATAATAGATTAAACATTAGTAATCGGTTGATATCAAATTTTAATTTATTTATAAGTAATTACAATAAAAGGTCTAAAGTTGTATTTTCCTTCTTAATTATTGATGTTCAGTAGATTTTTAAACATATAGAAGCTTTATAACTAAGTTTACAAGTCATTTCTCTTTATTAATAAAATAATTTGAATATTCATTAAAATAATTATTAGCGACTGGAGAGAATTTTATATTATAAACATCCTCAAATTATCAATTTCATATTACAACGCGAATTACACATGAGCTTTTCCTTTCAAGATAATAAAATATGCAATGAAACTGGTAGTTATTGGCTAAAATGAGAAATAAATAACAGTAATAATTTTCGAATAATATGATATTATACTTGGGAAGAAAAGTAATTTTGTTTGTTTATTAGTTTTTTTTTTTTTTTTTTTAAATATTTTCTTTTTATACTCCATATCGCAATTTATTTTCCACAATTTACAATTGGTTTTGTGGTTTTGTTAATGATCATTAAAAGTACATAAAAAATAAATGAATTGTTTCTAATCGATTTATTTAATTAAATTATTTTACATTTGACGGAATAATTACACAGTTGGGATGGCAAATTGTTAAATAAAATATTTGTAGAATTTTGTACAAGCTTATATAAATTCCAAAGAAATACGTTATTAGAATAGGAGGGATGAATTTTGAAAAAAATCTGATAAATTTGGACGTCAAGCTGCTTTAATATTTCATACGTGAAATTCTATCATAATTCTCATAATTCTCCCGGATGGCTCCGTAATTATTTTTCGTGCTAGAATTTGTCACACAAAGCCAGCTAATAATTGAGATTACCAACATAATCGCTAGCCGAATGATCCATAATTCGTATGCGTGAAACAAAAGACTTTCGCGGAGCGATATGTTCGCTTGGCTCCCCATTTCAATTTATACACCATATTTTAGTTAAGTTAAAAAAAAAAAAATGAAAAAAAAAATAACTTTTCGATCTCATTAAAATTATCAAGTGCATATTTTATTACAATTACAATAACACATTCCAAAGTCATTGGAATTTCTTGGTTAGGCATAAGCGAATAGAAGCTTGAAATTATTGCCAAATGGAGTTGCTGTCGCTGTTCGGAGGTTCTTTCTGGTCCTTCATTTCGCCCGTCAAAATCTTATTAAATATCGTACAGTTTATGTTATTTTACGTTCTACTTATGGGCATACGGGAATTGTGTTTTGAGGATCTTAATGGACGGGTGCGATATTACGATCAATCATATCCATCTTGTGAGTTCAGACGCGACTCGAAAACACGAAACAGCAGCCGCAGTTTATTAAATTACTCTATGGATGACAATTCGAGCTACATTGAGTAGGCGATAATAATCATTTATCAGGATTATCGTGCCCATTGAATTGCTGTTGTTAAAACTCCATAGACTTGTCAGCATCGCGCCGTAAGTATATTTTTATGAAATTATTAATACAGTGCGATGATTAAATTAATAATTGAAATAGCGTAAGTAACTGTGTGTGTGCACAGTCATTTCGGGAATCATTATATACGAATTAAGCATCAAATTTCAACTCTATTTCCATTTATTCGAAATCTTTATTATTATCGTAAGGTTAGTTTACGATCTGTATAATTTTTTCATAAATCCGAAACAAAAGAATTTCCAATATATTTATAATGAAAAATGAAACTCAATGAGCAAAAGTATTAGAAAATTCGTAGTGAGTTGGAAATAAAAATTTTCTATACGGCATTTTAATTTTACAGTTTCACTAATAAATTTGAACGAATTATATGAAAGAATTATTATATAAAGAAAATTTTTGAGTGCATGCATAAACCGAAAATCATAATGAATTATAAAATGCTCAAAAAATATGTGTTGTTACTTTGATCAATATCTTAAGGTAAAAAATATTCAGTTTAATGTTATGACATTATAATACAATTGTTTGTATAACATTAATACATAACTATGGAATTTCAATAAAAATATTATTTTTTTTTTTGTTTTTATACAATTCTACGTATATTTTTACATTACATCAATAAAAGACTTTCTATTGTTTATTTATTATTATTATTATTCTGGAATGACAATTATTTTACTATTGCATTTAAAACAAAATATTTGCATGACCAAAGAAATTTAATATTGTGCGAACATAAATAAGTACCGAATGTACCATTTAGTCAGAATGTGTATCGTATAATGCGAAATTTTCATTCGAAGAAGTAGTTTTTTTAATTTTTTTTTTCTTTTTTTTTTTTTATCTCAGCTCTAGAAAAAATTTGCTCCGAAAGGCTAATTTATAAATTATAGCCGAATTCATAAAAGATTTTTTAAGATATTACAATACTGTTGAATATTTGTAGAGAATTAATTCTCGTCCAAGACTTAAGAAATTTTTCAAAACATATTTTCAATCTTACTCATATAATTGGCCAAATTCATTCCATTATTTTTTATAATAATTTATCTAGTCCATCTATCTAGTCCAAAATTATGAAATATCCTATAATAAATATCCTATTAAATAGGGTATAGAATATCGTTCTCGCAAATATCATTTGTATTAGTGAATAATAAGAAAGATAAGAAACATCTACTTTTCAGGGCCAAATTTATGGTTTGCATTCTCTTTTAAGGGAATTCCATAGTGCGAGAAGTAGAGGCAAGCTCATTATTATTCACAGTGAAAGTTCGTGCCTTAAATCTGTGACCAATTTGTAATTCACAAAAATTCCTCTTATCGTTATTATATTAACATATGCATTGTTTTTCGTATACATCTACATAAATCCAGTTTAAATGTAAACAAATATGTTACCTGATATTATGGGAGCATTAATTTGCCCCAATATTAAATTTGGAAATAAAATGCCTTTATTATAAAAATTGTCGTCTTTTTAAAAAGAAGTTTTTTAATTAAAATTATTGTTTTTTGGGATTTAATAGATTGTGAAAACTTTAAACAAAACGAAATTTTTCGCACACGCGCTCGCACAGACACGCGTACAGACTCACGTACACATCAATGAGGAAAATATTTCATTTTCATTTTAAATTCGAACCGATTAAAATTCATAAATATATATATATATATCTTTATGCATTGGTGTTTCTTCATGCGCACGCGTGCGTGTGCGTGTGCCGCGATGAAGATGGCTTAAATCTCGAAAATGCACTTTAAATTCAAGCAGCTTTAATGCCCATTAAAGGTCGTCGTAGCTATTAGCCTACAGTAAACACTCAAATAGAATTATATAAAATTGATTTATTTGACCAAGTTTTGGCTTTTAGAAGTTCATGGTGTTCTCGTTAATTTTAGCAATTTTCTATAATGAAAATACGCGGGTTCTTTAGAAATGTCTGCGACACGCACCCAAGGATAAGCATCCTTGGAATATAAACAAAATAAAAACAAAAAACAAAAAACGAAAAAGAAAAAGAAAAAGAAAAAATACCCTTGCCCGATCGGATAAAAACATTAGCCCTTTACCTACAGACTTCCACAAAATCCAAGAAGCCCTAACACAGGAGTCCTTCGCTTAAACAATCAAGGGTTCGTTGGTCGTTAGTTTAGTAGCGTGAAATAATAAAAAAAAAATAAAAAAAAAAAAAGAAAAAAAGAAAAAAAAAAAACAATAAAAAAACGAAAACGAAATAAAAAAAAATCCGTCGCCTGCGGGCACGTAACCATATACATTTCAACGTGATAGCGAGCGCGGCAGTGTTCGTCGAAGGGAAAAAAAACTTCGGCAATCACTTGGCCAATCGATCGATTGAGAAAGGAAAATAAAAAAAGAAGGCGTAAAATTGCTGGAGCTGGGCAATATCTAATCTCGTGGCGCGGGCTTTAAATGACGCAGCTCGCGGTGACGCTGATGCCACTGCTGCTGGTGCTGGCTGCTCTGGCCGCGGGTCAGCGTTACCAAAGCGAAGACGGGAATTACATCAACGGCGAGGTGTACGGGGACTATGAGTCGCCGGAGCCTCAGCCGCAGCGGCCCCTGCACCCGACGCCCCGGAGCTACAACTCGGCGCCGGTCCCGAGACAGCAGCCGGCCGCGCCCAAACCGACGCCCGTCGCCATCCTCAAGCAGATCAACAGGCACAACGAGGACGGCTCCTACACCTACGGCTTCGAGGGGGCCGACGGCTCATTCAAGGTACCGCTAACTTCCATCCCTCCCTCACTTCCAAACTATTCATACGCATGTACGGGCGCGCGCGCGCGCACGAGAGAGAGAGAGAGAGAGACAGTCAGAGACAGAGACAGAGACAGAGATATGCATACATACATGTGTTAATGCAGATTTATATACGTTTGCGTATAAATAAAAATTTCTATGCCCATGCGTGTATGTATAGGCGCATAGATAAGTGAGCGCCACCGCCACCACCACCACCACCACCAGCACTCGCGTTGACAGTTTAAGCGCGAACCGGATTTTGCACCTTATCTAATGCTCCAATACTTTAGGTTCGTTGCTTCGATTTCATCGTTTCGTAAACTCACCTTTCTAAATCTTAGATCCGAGTCATTGTTTCACCTCGATTCTCCAACGCCCTAACCAATTGAAAGACTCGTCTCTCTCTCTCTCTCTCTCTCTCTCTCTCTCTCTCTCTCTCTCTCTCTCTCTCTCTCTCTCTCTCTCTCTCTCTCTCTCTCTCTCTCTCTCTCTCTCTCTCTCTCTCTCTCTCTCTCTCTCTCTCTCTCTCTCTATCTCTCTATCTCTCTATCTCTATCTCTCTATCTCTCTATCTCTATCTCTCTATCTCTCTATCTCTATCTCTCTATCTCTCTATCTCTATCTCTCTATCTCTCTATCTCTCTCTCTCTCTCTCTCTCTCTCTCTCTCTCTCTCGGATATTAAAAAATATGCCTGAATAATTACGCAGTTATTTTTGTAGAACTGAATCGAGAATATGGTTTGGCTTTATTAGCTTTTACGCGAATTTGCCGGTTAACTAATAATTACCCTCTGCTTCTCATAATATATTTATTTATCAAGCTAAGTAGAATTTTCTTAGGATATATAGTTTCCTTGTATCCTGTGCTTTTGAAGTTCAGTGAATATTTAGAAAACGTGTAATTACAAACTTCTGGTATGCAATGTATTTACGGATTAAGCAATGCCTAACTGCTCTAAAAAATTAAATACTTAATTTTTGTAAAATACGTATCTACATACTTTCTATTATTATCTAGACCAGCCATTGTATTTTATTCTATAACTGAATTTCCCAGTCGTATCGTGAGTGCAAAAAAAAAAAAAAACAACAACAACAACAATAACAACAAAATAAGTAACTAAATAATTTTTACTAATAAAGCTTGTTACTTTAGTAAACTAAGAAATGCAAACTAAGAAATTCTTTTATTGCAAGGAAGAAGGAGGGAGGAAGGTGATGTAAATATTGAATTTTGAGAAACAAAAAGTAATACAATTCGTTGAGAATAATAACTTTAAATGTTGTACAATGAGGAGGATACAATTAATTAAAATGTAACCATTTTAAAATCTTGGACTTGTAATTTACAATTTATTCCTCGTAATATCAAGTGATCGGCATAAATAAATTTCAAAATTGCCTCTCCATCTTGTATGATATTGAATTAAAAACAAAAAGAAAAAAGCTGAATAAATAAAATTATCAAAGTTAATTTTATTTATTTATTTTTTTTTTTTCAAAACAATTTTGGTAATTAGATTAATGTCCAGTTGTAATGATTCAATGATTAAAAGAAAAATTGAAGTACTTTTTTCGCGAATTTGCTTTGAATGGAATGACGAAAAATCACAATAAAGACCACGATCATAGATCGGATGATTGAGGATCGTAATGAGAGATTGAAAATCAAATCGGACTTTCATTAAATGAGCAATAACTCAAAGTCGATTATATTGTAATGAAAATTCAAGATCGAGACTAAGCAGGCGAACGGCGAAGTTAAAGGCAAATATGGTTTCGTCGATGACGGCGGTAAAGTGCGAGTCGTCGAATATGGTGCCGATCAGTACGGGTTTCAACCATCTGGTGAAGGTATTACGGTTGCACCCCCGACTCTAATTGACGAGACCACGAGTAAGGAAGCTCTCGAGGCTCAGAAGTACCAAGAGTACCAAGAGTACCAGCAGCCAATTCCTAGAAATGCTCCGCCCAGGTAATTAATATTTCTTAAGATGAATGATAGAAGAATTCAAGGCTCCTAATGCGGATCCGACAAGAGAAAAGTGATTTTCTTTTAATGTCATGCTTATGGCATATTTTTTTCAAAGCAATAATTCCATTAGGATGCTACTTATGCGAATTTTTTTTTTTTTTTTTTTTTTGTTTTTTTTTTTGTTTTTCTATATATTATCGGATTCTTTTTCATAAAGCAGCTTGAAACATTTATGAATTAATGTAAACTGCAGAGATAGATGTCGATTGTATGCTCATGGAAAATGTAGTATTGTATAAATATAAATATAAATATTCATTGTAAAGATGCATTAATTTAGATCTCTCGTAGATTTTTAATATAATTAGTAGTCCCGTTTCAATGTTATTTATATACGTGTAATTTTGTTTTTCATACTTATGAATTGTTAAAATCCGATTACACATACATGTGTATAATAATCACATATACACATTTTATTAGCAAGTATGTTTGTTTAATAATTTTAACTTAGAAAAATTATTGCAAAATTGAGGTTCTTCTTCTGTTTGATATGACGTATTGCAATTACAATGATATCAAATTTTCTTCGCAATATTACCTTTGCAAATTGCCTCTCAATTATTTTTATTTTCCATCTAATTTTAAGTAAATATTAAATATATAATATTTAATACGAACCCACCTGAACCATTTAATTTCTAATTTCATTATTATCCTTTTAATATCATTTGAAGCACCAATTGATACGTCGATAATTCTCACCGCTTTATTGTCAACGTCGGTAGCTCATTATCAGAAGGACCAACATAAAATTTAATAATTAATAATATCTTATAATAAATAACATCTTGTAATTGTAAAAATTCCAATTTGGATAAATATGGTTAAATGAGAATATTGTGATTGGTGAGTCATTACTTAATGGAGCATTACATTACTTCGTTATTTAGAAATGTGTCGAGTTATTCATGGATGATATTTGGCAGATAATATACCTATTATGGCTATAATAATAAATTTACAATTGTATTTCCAAATAAGATTGCAAAAAGATTTTTGTAAGAGCCTCGGCATTTGCTGGCTTTAATTCTTTAAAAAAAAATATCTGACTGAATCCCCGCGAACCCCCTTAAGCGTCTAAATAAAGAAGGCTTCGTTGAATATTTCAATTGCTGTAGATATAAAGCCGAACGTTATAATTAATTTAATATATAGAGCAAAGTGTTCCTTTCACACAATTGTCCGGGAGAGATAATACATTGCTATGTACGTAAAACAAGTATGCTTGATCGTTATCAATGCAAATTGTGAAATTCATTTTAACACGAGAAATTAATTTTTTTATAAATTTTTTTCTTAATTTGTATAACGAAGAAAAGAAAATCGAATATATATTTCATTATTAAAAGTCATTTTACTTTTGGTTGATAAATTTCAACGGCCTATCTCTTTCATTCGTTACGATATGAATTATGCAAGCTCAAAAGCGTCATTACGAGCAGCATGATCGAGCATATTTTCCCAATGAAAAATGCCAAACATCTATTTAGCACACGAAAGTGGAGAAAAATTCATTGTTACGAGATTTGTCCTTAGACGTAAACGGTAGCAGCACTGCCTATCGTTCAAAACTCTTACTTTCATTAATGTTCCAATGGGATTCCGTTCGACAAGCAGCGCCGACTAAACTTCACGATCAAGCGAAACAACAATCGATCGCGTAATCAAATAAGCCAGAACTAACGAATGGCCCTGGCCTAAAAGCACATGAAAAAAGAATGAAATGAATGAAAAGAATGAAAAGAAGGGAACTCCTTCTGTAATTGGCGATTGATCGCAGGCCAGCTTTGGTGCAACCTCGGCAGCCATCCGAGTACCAAGCGGGCCAATATCAGCCCCAGTACACGACCCAGCAGCACACCCAGGCGATCTACGCCTCGGCCCAGCAGCCCCGACTGTCCCCCAAGGTCCCGCAACCGATCTTCACGCCGGCCGAGGAACCGAGGCTCGGTGCAGGCCTCCAGTCCCAATTAATCCAGCAGCAGTCTTACGACGAGGAGGTCGCGCTCGCCCGGTCCAACTATAAGACCGGACCCGTCCAGTTCAATCCCGCCCCCGTCCAGGAGTCCCAGCCTCGAGCCCAGCCCCAGCCACGTAGCGGCGGTGGAGGCATCCTCGACCAGCTCGCCAGGGATTACGCGCTACCGCAAGGAGGCGCTGCGCCCCTTCACGACATCAGCTTCGGCTATTACTAAGTCCAGCGTGACGATTATCCTTTGGGGGTACGTAGTCCGGCATCCTGTCTAACTGTCCTGTCCCCATCTTCGCGCTCACGGCCCAAGCGCACTCTATTCCTTTGCAATTGCGTCCACAACACGTTTTTTCTTGCCCGCTGAAATTATCCAATTATTAATTTATTAATTGTCGCCCATGTCCTTGAAGAGGATTTTGAAAAGTAACGTATTTGCTTATTTGAACGTATTTGAGTGCTTTGCTTTTCAAATCAAAGCCGACTCTTAAGCTTTATTTATAACATTAGTGAGCTACAATTTCCAATCTCTCGTGCATAATTAATTTTCATTCTATTTAAACACGATATCTAAAATATTCCCTACAAAGCTCTCTCGTTTAATTCCATTGCAAAACTCGCGATTTATGATAATTATTAAATTTCTAAAGAGTAAAAATTTATAGCAACGAAATAATTTTAATAAACACTCTACAGCTCGATTTATCGAACAAACGGCAATAATCGTGATCATTTCTATCAATAATACATTGTTCTTCTTTACAGATTGACAGAATACTCTTTTAAGATGAAGTCATGTCGACAAGCTGATAAAGGCAAAGGATAAAGGAAAATTTTTTCCTGATTGTCCACCTACTTCAATTCGCATTGTAAATCTATCGACACGCAATTTCCTAGCAAAGGACTGCTATCGCAAAATAAAAGGAACATTCGACTTATCATCACCCACGCTAAAGACAATCCCCGTATCTCTATTTTTTTCTTTCGCTATCAATATTTTCGACATCGATAGTGTAGCATCAGACACCTCGTATTTATAGTAGATAAAATGAATTTTTATATTTCGTGCCACTTTCCACCTACTCGACCGATGAAATCATAAAATCACAAACAAAACAAATAGAACGTAATATGCGCATATTCATATGTGAGTGCTCGTGTGCGCGCACACACAAGAGACGTGACTTTTATTGTTTCTCACTATCTCCTGCTCACTCACTCACTCCCCCCTTCTCTGGCCCTCCGCCATCACAAAATCCTCCCCACCACCACCACCACCACCACCACCACCACCACCCTCTCACTCAACTCGCTCCCCCTCCACCCCCTTTCTTACCCACCCGCCTCGCAGCAGTCGGCGCTCTCTTAGGATCATGGTGCGAAATTACAGTCTTATAGCGCTCGCGCATTCGCGTACTTTCACTCTGACGTGGGACAAAAGTTGAATAGAGCCACTAGATTCCGTAGCACATATATTTAATTGCCGATTGATTCGCAATCCAGCCGTTGACTACGCATGACGTATGTATATCTGCGGAACTTTGAATTCTCTCACATCTGGCGGTAATTACCGACAGCGTCGCCATTGATTCTTCCAAGTTCATAATTTGCTGAACGACATTACGTCTCTTAATTTTTAATCGCCCACAGCTTTAAGACATCGGCAGCATTGAAGACGCGGAGAGATTTATTTTATTCGGCGAAAGCTTATGGAGATCGTTGGATTGTAAACGATGGCAGAAAATCAATGTACGTCCCATTATTCCGTAATCCATTTCTTGTCAAGACATATAATTGTACAGATTATTGTAAAACTAAAAGTAATAAAATATAATTTTTAACTACCATTAAGCATTTATCAGCTAAAACATTTATTTCCCGCATTTTTTTTCTTTCCTTTAATTATTAGTAACCGTTTGAAAGAGGAAAAAGCGACACATTTTTTAGAGACGGAAAAGCACGCGATGAGCAAAACACTTTTTATGCCAATTATACGGATACGGGAGACTATGTATATTAAATAAATTGTAATGAATATTGCATTTATAATTAAATACGCAGCTAATATTATGTGAAATATTACTTTTATATGTTTTTGCGAATGTTTTGCGTAAATATATAGCTGAATATACAAGTCATTTTGAAGAATTAGCTTTCGATCGATGTTTATTCAATAAGAAAGTCTTTCTTATTTATGGTGCGCGAGGATTTAAAAGAGCCAGAACCGAAGAACCGAAGTAAACAACAAAATTTCAGAATGACATTGCTTCTGCAAATCGGCGAAATCTAGCACACGATTTGGCCTCGGAACTTTTCCGCGTATCTTACAATACATATGTGATCGAAATTCAATTTTCTTTATACAGTGACGGGACTTTTCGAGAAAGGAAGCAGGGTGTGGTCTGGTTCTTTTCAACACTACGGTGGCCATATTCGTGCATGCATTCGTAACGCATAGTCGCCAGAACTTTCTAAATGCAAAGATCAGGGCTATGTTTTTTCTCTTTTTTCTTTTTTTTCTATTATTTTCTTTTCTCGTTTTCTTTTTAATTCATTTGTCCATTAAGTGGAGATAAGCTATTACCGAATGTTTAATACCAAAACTACGAATAATAAGCCTATTGTTTATTCAAAAGACATCTATAATCTACTTAATCAAATATCCAAATTTTTGTACATTTTACGCGTGATCTATCAATTTACGAATTTATTTTGGATTTTAATTTGGATGATATCAGGGCAATACTTAATTATCTTAAAATAGAATAGTATGTATAAATGTTTACTAAAACTTGACTGCTTACTAATCAAATTATACTATTCAAGATTAATATATTATGTTCAAAGTTTATTTTTAGATGCTCATACTTTTTATTCATAAATTAAGAAAAAAAATTAACTATTTACGCAGTGTAAAGTTTTTAATGTATTACTCACTATAAATATATTTATAATTATATAATATAATATATATATATATATATAATATAATAATATAACACTAAAGTTATTTGAAAGAAATATAATTTATCTATAACATAATAAATAATTGAACATAATTAAAGCAATATGTGTATATATATATATATATATATCTATATTTATTTTAAAATAGAAAAGTTTTTATGAGATGTGTTACCGATATCAATGGAAATATTTTTGCTTTCGTTGTTTTCTCTCTTTTATTAAAGACTTTTTCAAGAACTATTATCATGAAGAAATTTCTTTAAAACTGTATAATATTTCTTTTTCTACATAAATATATATATATATATATATATATATATATATATATATATATATAAATAATTTTAAAAAATCTA